GGACGTGGGGGTGGCCCTTCCCCAGGCAGGGACACTCCCTGGGAGTTTGCCAGGAGCCAGAGCCTGCCGTCTCCCTCCACAGCTGGAAGCCCTGGGACTGAGGGCTTGGCGCTCCCGCGCGGGGCTAGACAGCCTAAAGGGGACACAGGCAGCAGGGCTTCGCCAGAGAAGCCGCCTCTTGCCTCCAGAAAGCAAGACGGTGACAGTCCCAACCGCTGGACGCCCCTTATAGTGTATTGAGACTTAAATCGGGTGCCTACTCCTGGCTACCACGTAAGGCCCGATCCTGCCACCACTTCCTGGGGTCAGCAGTCTCTTTGCCTGGCCCTGACTTAGGAGGGGGCTGGGTTATGGCTTGACCCGGAGTGTTGGAAGTTCGTACAGAGGGAAGGCCCAGGCCCCCTGTTTCCAGCAGTTATAGCTTTGCCCTTCACGGGGCTGAGACTGGCATTCCCAGTCTCCAACTACTCCAGTGTTCACACCAGTAAATCCAGAGTACAACCTTTAAAAGGGTGTTTGACTTACACTGACAGAGCTGAGAGCAAAATTAGATCCATATAGGGGCCCCATCGAAGTGACTGGGACAACTCCCAATAACCTCACTAGAGCCAGAATTTCAATCCTAGTGTTTGGAGTCTGCAGGTGGAAAGGGCGGGGAAGGGGAGCAGTATCTGAAAACATTGCATCCTGTCACAAGACACTGGGACCAGATGGCATTCACCCAAGACTTCTGAAAGAACTCAACTGTGAAATTGTGGAATTATTAACTATGGTTTGTAACCTATCCTTTAAATCAGATTCTGTACCCAGTGACTGGAAGATAGCAAAATTAACACCAATATTTAAAAAGGATTCTAGAGGTGATCCTGGCAATTACAGACTGGTAAGTCTAATATCAGTACCAGGCAAATTAGTTGAAACAATAGTAAAGAATACAATTGTCAGACACATAGAAGAATATAACTTGTTGGGCAAAAGTCACCATGGTTTCTGTAAAGGGAAATCATGTCTTACTAATCTATTAGATTCTTTGAAGGGGTCAACAAACGTGGACAAGGGGGATCCAGTAGATATAGTGTACTTAGATTTCTCAGAATGGAGAAGGGTAACTAGTGGTGTTCCCCAAGGGTCAGTCCTAGGACCAATCCTATTCAACATATTCAGAAATGATCTGGAGAAAGGGGCAAACAGTGAGGTGGTGAAGTCTGCAGATGATACTAAACTGCTCAAGATAGTTAAGATCAAAGCAGACTGTGGAGAACTTCAAAAAGATCTCACAAAACTAAGTGATTGCGCAACAAAATGGCAAATGAAATTTAATGTGGATAAATGTAAAGTAATGCATGTTGGAAAAAATAACCCCAACTATACATACAATATAATGGGGGCTAGTTTAGCTACAACTAATCAGGAAAGAGATCTTGGAGTCATCATGGATAATTCTCTGAAGACATCCACACAGAGTGCAGCAGCAGTCAAAGCAAACAGGATGTTAGGAATCATTAAAAAAGGGATAGAAAGTAAGATGGAGAATATCTTATTGCCCTTATATAAATCTATGGTACATCCACATCTTGAATATTGCGTACAGATGTGGTCTCATCTAAAAAAAAAGATATACTGGCATTAAAAAAACGTTCAGAGAAGGGTAACTAAAATGATTAGGGGTTTGGAACAGGTCCCATAGTAGGAGAGATTAAGGAGACTAGGACTTTTCAGCTTGAAAAAGAGGTGACTAAGGGAGAATATGATAGAGGTATATAAAATCATGAGTGGTGTGAAGAAAGTGAATAAGGAAAAGTTATTTACTTATTCCCATAATATAAGAACTAGGGGCCACCAAGGCTATGTCTAGACTGCAAGCCTCTTTCGAAAGATACTTTCGAAAGAGCCTCTTTCGAAAGAGCGTCTAGACTGCATGCGGAATTTTCGAAAGAGCAAGCCGCTTTTTCGAAAGAAAGCACCCAGTGAGTCTGGATGCTCTCTTTCGAAGAAGCCCTATTTACATTCAAGAAAGCCTTCTTTCGAAAGAAGCACTTTCGAAAGAAGGCGTTCTTCCTCGTGGAATTAGGTTTACCACCGTCGAAAGAAAAGCCGCATTCTTTCGATTTAATTTCGAAAGAACGCGGCTGCAGTCTAGACGCAGGTGAAGTTTTTTCGGAAAAAGGCTACTTTTCCCGAAAAAACCCCTGAGTCTGGACACAGCCCAAATGAAAGTAATGGGCAGCAGGTTTAAAACATATAAAAGGAAGTTCTTCTTCACACAGTGCAGTCAACCTGTGGAACTCCTTGCCTGAGGATGTTGTGAAGGCTAAGACTATAACAGGGTTTAAAAGAGAACTAGATACATTCAAGGAGGTTAAGTCCATTAATGACTATTAGCCAGGATGGGTAAGGAATGGTATCCCTATCCTCTGTTTGTCAGAGGGTGGCAATGGATGGCAGGAGAGACATCACTTGATCATTACCTATTCGGTTCACTCCCTCTGGGGCACCTGGCATTAGCCACTGTCGGCAGACAGGATGCTGGGCTGGATGGACTTTTGGTCTGATCCAGTATGGCCATTCTTATGTTCTTATGGTATATTTTCTACTAGCCCTATTAAGAGATAATGCTTATTGGTTGCATCCAAAAGAAGCAGCACAATAACAGGAGCCTTGGACAATTTGGTTTGTTACCAATACATGCAGCCAGTGGGGAGGGAATGTGACAGGTTATATAAATGCACAGAATGAGTTCATTATCACAGATAATAGGCTCAACACCTTGCTTGGCAAGCCTGTTTATTTATTGACACTCAGGTGGGAACATGATTTTTTCCCTTAAGGTGGAAGACAATGAGGCACATAAACAGTCAAAGGAGGATACAAGGCAGCAGCATCCTGTGTTCCACTGAAAACATGAAACACATCATTCGTTTCCTTGCTTCTTATTCATAGTGAAGGAGGGCTTTTAATTTATTTGAAAAGCCGTAAAGCAGGGGTGCGAAACCTAAGGCCCAGGAGCCAGATGTAGTCCCCAGCTTGCATGGATCCAGCCTTGGGAGCCTGCGCTGGCAGTCGGGCGCTCCACCCCCTGTAACCCAAAATCTACTCACATGTCCCCCCGGGCTCTGGTGTATGAGGGGAATGTGGGGAGGGTCTTTCTCCTTCTCAGCTGGGGGCCACATCAGTGAGAGTTTGGGTTTTATTTATTTAGCTTCTCACTTGTAGCCCCGACCCCAAAAAAGGTTTCCCAGCCCTGGCGTAAAGAAATTCTCTCACAACCAAGTTCAGCCAGATGGAGCAGTATGGCTACATCTACATTGGCAAGATTTTGTGCAAAAGCAGCTGCTTTTGTGCAAAAACTTGCTGCCTGTCGACACTGGCCGCGAGTTCTTACGCAAGAACACTGACATTCTAATGTAAGAGATCAGTGCTTCTTGCACAAGAACTACGATGCTCCTGCTCAGGAATAAGGCCTCTTGCGCAAGAGGCCAGTGTAAACAGGCAACATGAATTTCTTACGCAAGAAAGCCCGATGGTTAAAATGGCCATTGGAGCTTTCTTGCGCAAGAGAGCATCTACACTGACACGGATGCTTTTGTGCAAAAGCACATCTCTTGCCAAAAGCACATGCCAGTGTAGACGCTCTCTTGTGCAAATACTCTAACGCAAAAACTCTTGCGTTAAAGAGTATTTGCGCAAAATCTTGCCAATGTAGACGTAGGCTATGGGTTTAAGAGCTGGTCTAGGCAAGGAAATTGACCGGAAGAGCTATTTCATACTAGGTCTTCTTGCATAGCTGACCATGTGGCAAAGGAAGGAGTCGTCTACGCCAAGAACTTCCAAAGCAGACTAAAGCATTCTTATTCTAGAATTCCAGTCCATTTTACATAGTTTCTGAGATCATGCCCATCATCAGTATCTGAGCACCTTCCAGGAGTTCATTAAGCAACATGACCAAACTTCTGTAGTCTGTTCTCTTATCTTCTCCCCAGGGGAGGAGTGTATGCTATGGAGTGCTATACTTTGGCAGGGTTTTAGGATTGCTTCTCTGTATTTATGGTGGAGAAGCAAAGACAAATAAATTTGCCTTGCACTTGGAGGAGAAGATGGTGATGTTTGAAATGGTCCTCAATTCCTAGGTTTTTTTTCCCCAGAGCATCAAACTAACCTCAATGGCAGCTGAAAGCCAGAGACACTTTTCTGTTCTGTTTCCCAACCAGATGAACTTTGCCCTTTTTGTAGAGAGTTTAGTTGGGCCAAACAAAGGCCCGTTGTTGTCCAGGAGCATCACCTCACACCATTAGGACAACTTTACTATGCCCTGGGCCCAGAAAGGACTGAGACTTCGAACTTGATTAGAAATTCTGTGGGAAGCCAATGAAGAGAGCAGAGGACAAATCTGATGTGTCCACAGTTGCCTGTACAGCTGAGAAGGCAGTCTGCAGAGTTCTGGATTAGTTGGTGTTTCCTAAATGCTGATGTTTTTGTCCCCATGTTTGCTGTAATCCACACAAAAAAGTACGAAGGCATGATAATTGAGGCCAGGGTAGGACAAAGTTTTCTAGCCAACTGGAG